CACTCGTCGAGCTTTATCTTTCCCGCGCTTTGCATGTTTTGGAAAGCTGTCATCACGTTCATTGGCCTCTACGTCTCATTTCTTATCCGACACGACGACGGCGACTTTCAGGAGTCTATGTGGATCTTCTCGGCGGCGTGTGTCGTGCTCATGGGGTCGCTTTTTCTGATTCCGCTTTCGTATCTGGTGAAATTGCCGGCGACGACGAGCTTTGCGTTTTGCTCGGTGATTACGCTCGTGTGCACGGTACGGGAGGTAGATTTTGGTGGTCGTGAACTATGACGCGCGTAGCTCGTCGTGATGGGGCTCATGCTCGGCCCCAAGTTTGCGCGCCTCAACCTCGCCGACTTGAAGTCGACTGGCACCACGACAGGCACAAAACCTGGCGGAACGAAATCGACGAAAAATGTCCACGGCGCACCAAAGTGATGCTTTTTAACGCGTGAACCATCCCACATCTGGCAATCTCTTGCAGCTAGCGTATACATACTTGAAAGACGTTGTGCGTTAAGAAGTCGCAACTTAAAAGGAGGCAGAGGCTCGTTCGTTGTTTGACTTGGTGTCGACGGCTGGAAGGCAACGCAGTGCTTCCATGCACGAAATCGGCTCTTCAAGAAATACAAACGAAACGGTTAGCGCGAGGCGTCGCACGTCCCGTCTATATTTGTGATTTAGCCGAGAAACACCACCGATGCGAAGCTCCCTGCTCGTTGCGCTTCTAGGCCTCAAGGTTCTTGTCGCTCGAAATCTCTTTCTACCAAACTTGGCGGCTGTAGATGTCGTCCGCAGAGACACCGACCCCGTCGCTTCTCGAGTCGCAGCGGGGCTCGTGTTTGGATGCGGCGTGGGTGCAGCGCACGGCCGCGACGTACAAGCTCGATCCGCACGTGCGGGACGCCCAGAACCGACGCGTGAACCCTTTCTTGCAGCCGGGTATGAAAGTGCCCCGCTTCACGGTACCGCAAACATTGTGTGTGCTGTCCACGGCTCATGTCGCCTTAGGTCCAGGACCCTCGCATGAATCGCCCCAACCTCTTTGGCTCCTGCATGGCTTCCAACGAAATCATGCACGGTTTGGGCGAGACTGTCTATGCGAATGGGTCGCAGGCCTTTCCTGGTGTCTTCAACGGCACATTGATCCTCGAGCGCAACGGGTGGCAGTCGCACGATCTCTCGCGCGTCGTCCTTAGCATCTTGCTCACAGAAGTGGTAATCTTGTGAGAGCCAACGATAGGATCATGTTGCCAAACTAGCTCGGGTATGGCGTCACTACGTTTGAGACTGGCGGTGGCCTGAACTGCGCGCAACGCATGTCGTTTCAAGGCCTCAGCCACTGCACACCAACGCACATCAACTCCGAAGTGTGGACCAGTGGGAAGCTCAAGACGCTCAATGTGTACGCCAACGCGACAATGCCGACGACCACTGGCTACAACGGCATGTATGTATTGGTTTCCACCATACGAGGTCCCAAACTTTTGGCAGGGGGGGACTGTACACACTCACGGACAACGTCGTCGAAGCGCTGAAAGGAAGTGCTTCGACCAAAGGTAGTACAACGCATATATCAAATTGATACTGACTTGATACTATCCACGCGACAGGCACCTTTTCCAAGCCGTTCGCACTTGACTTTTGGCGTGACTACTACTGGAGCGACCAAGTGATCCAGTATTTTGGGTACAACCAAATCAAAATGGCGCCGCTGGTGCAGCAAAGCTCGTGTCCGGACAACTCGTTTGGGTGCCGCAACGGCTGCTCCAAGTCCTACGCGTGCACGCTCAACGAGCAGAACGGTGCCAAATGATTGCTGCTGATGGTCTTAATTATCGCACTCGATGCAGGCAAAAGCTGCATGATGGTGGCGATGATGGACGAAGGGTACGATCCCGGCTTTGTCCAGGCCATGATGAGCAACAACAACATCCCGGCCTACTTTTGCTTCCTCGGATACGACGGCATGCTTGCCTATGTCGTGAACACCATGAAAGCAGGCGGCGCCGTCGCATTCTACGACTTTGAGCCCGACATCCTCTTCTACGAGCACCCAGGCGCCTTCACGCACGTGACGTTTCCGCAGTCGGACCCGGCCAACATCGCGGCGGCCACTGGTAGCTTTGGCGAGAACGGCTACGGCCAGCCCACGACGAATCCCCTCGCAACCGACTATCCGCTCACCCCGCTTGTGCGCTACATATCCAAGATCATCACGGGCGACGCCTTCCTCATGGACTTTCTCATGAATATGCAGATCGCTCCCCTTGATATGGACCAGCTTTTCTCGGACTACGTTGCGTTCAAGAAGGACGCATCCGTACCGGACCCCGTGTTTACGTCCGCCTGCAAGTGGGTCCAAAACAACTACGTCACGTGGAGCGACTGGGTCGATCCGCTGCCTCTCTGCACACTCCAAAGCAGCGTCTCGTACACGTACCAAGGCTGCAACGCGTCAACGCGACTGGTAACGTTTGCGTGGAACACGCC